GAAATATTATCCTCCAAAGGACAATGGTTTCTAGAAGGTTTATGTCTCAAATGTTGTACTACACAAGACTGATAAAGGAATGCATAACTCAGTAAAGGACGTTTGTACTGCATTGTCACTTTCCCCCACTACATACACTGGATTCTGCCAAGATGACTGTTAAAGACTCATTTGTTGTGGGATGTGACTTCATATTCATAAAGGTTAGATCAAAAGTAAGATTTTTGGTCCTCTGGTACTAAATTAAATGTAATTTATATGACACATGAAGACTAAAACTTACAAAACTAAATGATAAAGTCAAGATAGTTAACCATCATTGATATGTCTATCATCATCATCACAAACTATACACTTAAAAATCAAACTACTTATGAGTCTGTAAGTCAGAGGCTGTCCAGCAAACTGCCTTCTATGACTCATTTCCTTTTACATTTTTAACTCAAATACAAATATGTAAGATTCAGTAAATTTTATTTTTCCAAAAGTTCTCAGAAAGAATTATCAGAATCATCCTCCAGGTAAAAAACACATTTGGATAGCAAAATTATTGAATGGGGAAAAATGTATTTTTTTTAAACAAATGGGGGATGTGAATATAGGGATTTTGCTGTGAGATTGTTCTACCTTCAAGCCCCAGCTCTTTCATCTACTTGTCCTATGACCTCTCAGGTTTGGCTTCTTCATCTGTAAAATGTGACTGTTAATATGCCCACCTGTAAGTATCATGAATTTGCTGTGACAACTTATTGCAAAGGTGTCAGCAGCGTGTCTCTGGGCATATAGCAATAGCATTAAAATCACAGTTATCATGTTTAGTATTTTTCCCACTCTTATTTCTAATATCTGTATGACTCTGTATGGTGCTTTATAAGAATTTTCAGATATTTAAAAAAAAAAACACAGTTGGATAATCCACTTTTCACAAATGAACTCTGTACTTGTGTTGTAAGGTAGCAATCAACAACTCTAAGACCTTCTGTGGTGGCAGTTCCCACTACTCACAAGCATTCCCTCTGCACATGAAGATGACGAACAAAGAAGGGACCAGAAGAGTCCACTTTTCATTGTTTCACTGACTTCTCGTGTTTTCGTAGTATGCTAAATGCCTGATTTCAAATTTACAACAACAAAAAATACTGATATTTTTTCTGAAAAGTAATTGTATGTTCCAACTAGCAGATATTAACAAGTTCCAACATGGTCTCTAGGAATAATTCGAAGTTCTGAACCGTCTTTAGAAAAACATTTCCAGGGCTGGGATTGTGGCTGGGATTGTGTAGTGCGCTTGCTTAGCTTGTGTGAGACACTGGGTTCGATTCTCAGCACCACATATAAATAAATGAATAAAATAAAGGTTCATCAACATCTAAAACATATTTTAAAAAAAGAAAAAGAAAAACATTTCCAGCAGTCTGTGCAGGATTTATTACTATTCCATCATTAGTAATAACTGCACTGTTGCTGCAGGAACTTTAAATTCTTCTGCTGCAAATTTTAAGACTGCTGTAAAAGGTGTACTCTCAGGAACACTAACTACTTTATAAGGCAACCGTGGGTCTGATGTCAGCGTAATCTTAAAGGAAACCTTCTACCTGGCAGAGTAAGTCTGGGCGAACACACCACACCAATTTGGCAGAGTAACTCCAAGCCCTCACCAGTCATGCAAACATTCTTAATAAAATCCTGGGAAATCACAAAATAATATTTAAAAGATGGTGCACAAGTGTGTTTAATCCCAAGGATGCAATATTAGTTCAACATACGGAAATCAATAAATGTTATTCACCACATCAATAGACTTAAAGACAAGAATCACATTATTATATTAACAGGTGCAGAAAAATCATTTGACAAAATACAGCATTCACTCCTGTTCAGAGCACTAGAAAAAGTAAGGATGGTAGGAACATACCTCAACATTGTAAAAGCTGTATATGCTAAACCCAAGGATGGTAGGAACATACCTCAACATTGTAAAAGCTGTATATACTAAACCCAAGGCCAATATTATTTTACATGTAGAAAAACTGAAATCTTTTCCTCTAAACTCAGGAACAAGAGAGGGATGGTTTTTTTTCACCATTTCTATTCAACATAGTCCATGAAACACTGCCCAGAGCAATTTGGCAAAAGAAAGAAAATAAAGAGATACGAATAGGAAAAGAAGAACTCAAGCTATCCTTATTTGCCCGTGACATGATTCTATATTTAGAAGACCAAAAAACTCCATCAGAAAACTTCTTAAACTCATAAATAAATTCAGCAATGCAGCTGGATATAAAATTAACAACCATAAATCAATTCTGTTCCTATACATCTGATGAAGCAGCTGAAATAGAAATTAGGAAAAGTATCCCATTCACAATAGCTTCAAAAAAATTTTAAAAAAACAACTTGGAGTCAATGAGTCATGTTTTTTGAGGAGGTGACAGTGGGGGAAGATTAAAAAGTTTTGCTAGTGAGCTTTTTATTTTATTAAACTTTTATAGAATCAATTTTTGCCTATACTAATTTTCTCTCATATCATTCATGATACATAGTATAGTTACAGTGTCTAATGGTTCTGTTCGCTATAAATTACTGACTAATAATTATTCTTTACTTATGGAATGACCTGATTTATTGATGGAAGTTCTGTTTTCATGAGTACTTAAGTCAGTGAAAATTAACAGGAGTGACCCTGGTTTCCTAGCTGTGACTATGTGTGTGTGGTATGTGTATATTTTTCATTGTCTTCTTCTGTTCTTCTTTCTATTGTCTCCTCTTCTGCCCCAGACATATTATTTGTTTTCTAAAGAAATTTCAAATACTTATTTTTAAAATAAGATTTGTATTTTAGTATAAACTTAGAAAAAAAGTGCAAAGATACTATGGAGTTTCATGTACCCATACCTGATTTTCCTTATTATTAATATTTTATATTTGTATGGTAATTTGTCACAACTGATGACCCCATATTTCTATATAACTATTAAAAGACATGTTTTATCCAAATTTCCTAATTTTTTTAATTTAACATACTTCTTGTGTTTCATCATTCCAAATTACAGCATTATATTTAGTTGTCAAGTCTCTTTTGTCTCCTTTTGACTGTGACAATTTATCATTTTTCAGTAAAACAGAAATTATAATTTCAAAAATTAGCACACTAAGGCAGTTGATTATATTGCTATTCTCACATGGGATTTGGTATTAGGAATAATGAGGGGTTCACATGAGATAAGTCTAGATGGAAAAAGGAGAAAAGACCAGAGAAGCACCTGAAACACCCACAAACATACCCATGAATGAATATTTGCCATGTGGATAATTATTTAAGCTAGATATTTGACAGCTCATTGTGGAATTATTTATTTTTATTCATTTTAGCTTCATAATCAACAGCACATGTATGCATAATTTTTATATTTGTGTATGTTTCTGTGTGTCTATGAAAAAATACCTCTGGTTTCAGTCTACTTGATGCAGCACACTTGAGCCCACTTAAACTTATAGCAGCTGGTGCACGGGGTGACTAAAATGTTAAATTTTCTTTGCTTAACTTCACACAGTCCTCGAAAACAAGCTTCATGTAGTTTTTCACTTTTGATATAGAAGTTGTATAATATCATCCTTTGTTTTCCAAAATTCTGTGCTACTTCTTATCACTCAAATAATCATTTTTCAAGTCCTAAAATGTAAAGACATAACCTTTATCCAGCAGTGGGTGGCCATGCTTCATTCTCCAAATGAGCAAAGTGTGATGTGCAGTGATAAAAAAAGGAAGTGCTGTGGTTTGTATCTCCTCTTCACAGGAAGATGAGATCAGAAGAATAGTTATTATACCTTTTCTCAGGAATCAGAATTACTTGAGCATCTCTCTTGTGAGTTCTAAATTAGGAGCACAGGACACATCTACATTTTCTAGTTCTGTAGAAGGCTTTTATCCACAAGAACCAAGATCTTCCTTCTTGATCAGGTGTGTGTGTGTGTGTGTGTGTGTGTGTGTGTGTGTGTGTGTGTGTGCGCACGTATGTATGTGCACATGCATGTTTGTTTCTAACAACTATCACTCAAGAAATGTGGAGGTATAAGATATTTCTAATTATTTAAGTGACTACAATTGCTGAAGACAAGGAATGCACATCGATTCTGAAGTATTCTTTTTTATAGTATCCAATTAGTAATTAGGATATACTTACTGATGTATCATAAATTATAACTTTCTATAAGAAGCCTTGTCTAAGCAAAACCCCAAGAATGAATTATTATATTTAGGATTAGAAGGATTTTCAATGTGAATTCTCACATGGGTTTTCTAATCTTGTGGAAGGAACCTACCTTCTCTAATACACAATTTTAAAAGCAAGATGAAACATGTCATATCTATTAATTCCAACTATTATGATCAAATATACATAAATCTTAATTTAAAAACATTAGCATTATGCACATTTGTTAAATAGCTATTTTTTCTGGAAGCTCTGATAGACCCTGTAAAATGTTGCTATATAATGTTACCATATGAAATTGTGCTTGTTACTGATGATGGTGATGATGATAACCTGTTATTGTTTATGATGGCAATGATAATAGAAACTGGATTAAAATGAAATAGGAAAACATCCAACAAAAATTCATACATCTTGTATAAGTTTATCTTACAAAGAAATCAATTATCTTCCAGTAAAATAAACAATTATAAACAGAAAACTGTGCTGTTATTCAATATCAGTGATGTCAAATATTTTTATTAAATATTTTAATGTATATAAATTAAAATATTCATTATATGTTATGACACTTCGAACTAATTGGTCATTATTTTACAAACAAAAAAAATTAGATATTAATTTAACCTGGCTTTATGTGAATCATTATTTCCATTCTTTTTTTCAGGGAGGTAAGCTATGAAACAGGGGAATTTTTCTGTATTTTACTTGTCCAATCAAAATACTTCCTCTCTTATAAAGAAAACGGAAAAAAACAAATGTTCCATTTTACTTCATTCAAGAATCCTGTGTGAGAGGAGTTTGGACTCCCTGAAGTAGACATACAATTATCATCATAAAATGGGACTGATTCGTGATCGGAGGTGTCATCACAGCTCGGGTATGTACTCACTGTCCACATGAATGTGTAGTTCTGCTTCTGTATATTTTTAAGCTGTCCAAAATTTTACTTTAAATCAAGCTGTCAGAAACTTTCACTTCCCCCACCACTGATTTCATTATCTTTCAATAGTAAAGTCATCCACAGCTGAAGACAACTTGAATCAGTAAATAGCATCACACTGCAGTTAGAAGAACTGAATTTTAATCAAACCATTATTTTGTTTTGAGATAGGGACAATGAAGCTTGCATGGGATCCTTCCCCCACAAATAGAGAAATAATATGTGCTGTATTTATCTTAGTGGAGTTCTGTCATATTAAAATCAACATATAATTTGAAAGTACATTTTATGCTGAAAGTGTCAATTTTTCATAAATTATTTACAGTTGGTAACATTATATTACATAATCAATGTGATTTTCGTCATCTCTAATTATTTCATCCATAGAATAATACCTACCTTCTGCTCTTCAGGTTTAATCAGTGAATTATATATTTTACATCTAATTTTTACATCTAATTTTAGTTATAAAGACAATTAGTAAACTGGGTGCGGTGGTGCTCACCTGTAATCTCAGCAACTCAGGAGGCATAAGGATTCCAAGTTAGAGGCTAGCCTCAGCAATTTAGCGAGATCCTAAGTAACTCGGGGAGATCCTGTCTCAAAATAAAAATAAAAAGTGGAAATGTGGCTCAGTCGTTAAGTACTCCTGGGTTCAATCTCTGGTACCAAAAAGACAATTAGTATTATCATTTCATTTAGAAAGGCTTTTAAGTATTCAGTAAATGATTAATATTTCAAAAAGTAAACTTTTGTTGTTGTTGTTGTTCAGAGGCAAGGTTCTCTGTCTTTATCCTAAAACTTTAGATCCTACTTGTTTCATCTTTGTTTGTCATTAAAAACGAAATTAGACAAACCAGTATTTATTAAATGTTTGCATGTGATTAACATTATTGAAACTAAGTTCATCATATTTTATTTTATTTTTTAAAGATCTCTAATGAATTGTGTTGATATCTTTTCTTACTGCTGTCTTTCTTGTTTTTCAAGTTAGGAAACTGAGATGCAAAAGCTAAATGCTATGTAAAATTATCAAGTTAAGTCTGAATCTATAGTGTACATATATGTCTATCTTTCTCTGGCTTTGTGTTTTTATAAAGTGTCTATTTCAATGTTAATTTCATTATATTATAAATTAATTCATTTTAAAGTATATAAGATATTATTAAGAATACTTTGCTATGGAATAAAATAATGTTATCTATACAATAAACACAAGCATCATGATAATAAAGTAATGTAGAGCAAAATAAATTCATGTTGTACTTTTTTTCTTTTTTATGTAAATTTTTTCTATTTATATATGACGACAGAATGCATTACAATTCTTATTACATATACAGAGCACAATTTTTTATATCTTTGGTTGTATACGTAGTATATTCACATCAATTCGTGTCTTCATACCAGTACTTTGGATAGTAATGATCATCACATTCCACCATTATTAATGACTCCATGCCCATTCCCTTCCCCTCCAACTCCTCTGCCCTATCTAGAGTTTGTCTATTCCTCCCATGCTCCCTCTCCCTATCCCACTAAGAATCAGCCTCCTTATATCAAAGAAAACATTTGGCATTTGTTTTTTGGGGGATGGGCTAACTTCACTAAACATTATCTTCTCTAATTCCATCCATTTACTTGCAAATGCCATGATTTTATTCTCTTTTATTGCTGAGTAATATTCCATGTGTATATATGCCACCTTTTTTAAAAAATCCATTTATCTATTGAAGGGCATCTAGGTTGGTTCCACGGTTTAGCTATTGTGAATTGTGCTGTTGTACTTTTAAAAAGATATCTGTGGGAAGTATATTAATGGAAATGATGAGTTTAATTTTAAATATCTCAAGTAGTAGAAAGGCTGTGGCTCATATTGGCTTGAACTGTTTTTCTCCAGAGATGACTGAATGCCACAATTATAACTTTCGACTGGCAAAGTGTCACACTTCTAAAAGATGTCAAAAGCAAAGATCTACTCTAATAACAGGCAAATGTAGACAAAAATGTAAGTCTTGTATTCCATTTGTCCTCTCTCATTGTACAGAGGTTAATCATGGAAACAATATCAGTGAGAATTATTCAACTTACTTTACCTTCATTGTAGTAGCAGACATAACATTTACTTTAATAGATTATTGAAATATATAATAAAATTAGAAGAAAATATTGTTTAGGACCTTTTTCATGCCCTAAAAATGATGAGCTTATTTATCACAATAATGACAATGAAACAGAAGATTCTGAGAAATCAGTAAGTAATTAGCTATAAGGAGGAGTAAACAAAAAGATTCAACAGAAAAGAAAAACAAATTAAATTCATCTGAGTTATGTTCTTAAAAATTATAGAAGCAATAATTTGATTACTATATAGAATGTTTCTGAGTGCAGTAGAAAAGATGTGTCCTCAAATGTCTTTTTCCTATCCAGAATATTATTGATATTAGCACTTGAGGCAGCTTAAAGAAAAGGAAAATCAACAGACCATCCTCACCTAAAATCAACAGAGATTTTATTAACAATAATAAGAAATTACTAACAAGTAACATCATTTCATGAGTTAGTCATAGGAGTGTAAATGAGCTGTATATAATAATCAAAGGAGAAAGAATATATGACCATGTGCATAATGTTGAAATGTCATTGAATAAAAAATCAGTGTGAATTCTTAACTAAAAGAACTTAATTTGAAAAAATCTAAAAAATGTAAATACTTCTCTTGATATATACATATATAGACATAATATATTACATATATAAATCACTACAATTAATGTTATTACATTTTCATTATAATTAGGAAAGGCAAATATTTTTGCTATTATTAATGTTGCTTATTATTTATTGTTTTGCTGATGCTGAGTGACTAAGCAAGAAAAGAAAAATAAATGTTTATAAAATTAGAATTAAAAGGTAAAAATAACATAATTAAAAATATGTGATTTAAAATATTTTAAAATTAATGAGTGTACAGGCCTTAAATATAAAAAACCATTAAAAATAGATATTAAGATTTTATTGAAAGTTCATATTTAAAACTCAATTGTCTTCCTAAATATAAATACAAGGAAACTGCTGTTCATATGTTATGACCCTAAATCAGGAAAAAGCATAGAAATAAACCTTTTACTAACAAGCCTAGAAATAAATTTGCTAATTAATATTTCTACTGATGAACATAAAAGGTAAAGCATTCAAGGATAAAAGACAACATTTTTCAGATATGCATTATCTCTATACATCTGTATATTTAATGTGATTCTGTTGGAGGACAAATGTACTGTATTTAGAAATGATATGTTCTTTAAAAACACATTCTAAAATTTATAAGGCAGAAAAAAATTATAATAATAGCTAAGTAGTCTGGAAAAGATAATGTACTATAATATTGTAGACACTATCTTGTCTTCAAGCATTTCATAATGAACATATGTGAATGAGCAGACTGATTAGAGTACATAGGAATAAATGCAAGCACATGTAGGGATAGATGATATGCTAATAGTGGCATTTCACATCAGTAAAGGAAGATTAATTGATTCAATAATTAGTGCTAGAAAAACTCAGTACACATCTGGAAAAGAAAACTCTTATAAAATTTGAGTTTTTATCAAATATATTTTACACACACATATACACAACAGATGTTTAATAGTCCAAATAAAAATAGAAACCATACACCATTGTGATGTAACATGGATGTAATTAGTTTTACAAACTCAGAATAATAAAGACATTTTACTCATATCAAAAAAACATAAGTCATACAGGGAAGTCAACCAGAGAAAAATTAACCATTTCAGCCTTTCAAAGTTATTATAAAGAAAGTTAAAACAGAAATAATGTCTGAACCATATATTTGCAAAACATACTTCATATTCCCAACCTAAAAAGTAAAGAATAAACCAGTGACTTTGTAGAAACAAGAAAAATCTCAGAGAAATAAGAGATGTTCAACTTTATTCCACAAGAGGAAATATAAAATTAAAATGTAAGTGTAAAAATATTTCCTACCAAGTTTATACATTAAAAAATGTGAATAACATTTACTACCAAGGAAGATGTAAATTAAACAAGAATATTAAGTATATATAGGCTTTTACATTTATTTTTTATTATGCAAATTAGTATAAACTTTTTAATTAAAATTTTCAATCATTACAGAAACTTAATATATACATGCCTTTGCTTCAGTGATTGCCATAGCAGGAATTTCTTCTAGAGAACTAAAAAATATACACAGGTGTAAATGAAATATATCATTATTTCTAAAAGCAAAAACTAACAAACAATTTACCCATTGGAAAAAATTAAAAGTCTGTCAACAATTAGATTTTGTCCAGATAGCAATGAAATGTAATACAATAATTTTACAACTTAGGCATCTTTATAAGCCATGATATGGTATAATCACCAGAATACTGTCATAAATGAAAAAAAAAGTCAGACTAGTTTGTGCAATTTCTTAAATATATGTATTTTGTAACATGGTTTCAAAATACATATTTTTAATATGTAGTTGAAAGAACTGTCTATATTTATTATTGTATCCGCATAGAAAATGAAAACAGTAAACAGATTTACACTAGAAGATGGCTAGAGAACTTATACAGAATTATGGGAAGGGATATTACATTTTTTGTACTCTTGTTTCTTAATCATTTACAAAGTAATTGTATTACCTCTTCTGAGAAAAACAAAGCCAAAAAAACCACTTACAGTATTCTCTCATCAAAAGCACAATACCATTAATACTAAAAACAAAGATACCTGTGTCCTTTATCCTTCTTTTCTTTTCTGATATTTCTCTTTTCTTTGACAGTATCTCCATTTTTTCTTGGTCGTTTCATCGCCATTTCGATGGCGATACGCTTCGTTGTTATGATGGCGATATGGACTGTCATATTCGTAAACTGTAAGTCATTACAAAAAAATTGTGATCTTATTTATCAAACAACTGTAATGTATTATTTTGATTAATATTCAGAGGCACAGATACATAAACTAGCAATACTGAGTAAGTGTTCTCATTATAGTTTTGCTGTTAGTCTAGAAATTTACCAGTTATTTTCTATTGGATTATAATTTACTAACAGTACAAATTTTTAAAATAATTATGATTATTTTCATAGCATTTCACAACCAAGAAGTTTCAATTCCTTCAAATGGTAAGTGAATTTTTAAAAATATTTTGAAGAATAAATTGAATACATACTATACATACTAGAGTGTATTATTTATCCAATGGCACTAAAAGTAGGAAAGAAAATAGTTTATACTTGTCCACATTTTACTATGGCTTTATTTTGTTGAAACAATGCAGTACTTGCAAAGAGTAGAAAATTCTGTTTGGGCATCTCCCTTTCTATATCTGTGTAGAAATACTTTGGATATGACTATAATGGTTTAATTGTTTTTTAACTTTGAAGTTGGAATGAGAAAGGCATTTGAGTTTTTTTATAATCTGCTATAATGTCTAGATATGTGTAGAATTAATAGTATATTCTCTTTCTAGAAGGATACTGTGGCCCATGCCCTAAAAATTGGTTATGTTATAGAAACCACTGCTACCAATTTTTTAATGAGAGCAAAACTTGGTACCAGAGCCAAGCTTCTTGTATGTCTCAAAATTCCAGCCTCCTGAAGATATACAGTAGAGTGGAACAGGTTGAGTATTTGTTTTAATCACCCTTCGTATATTTAATCTTAATGAATGAAATAATTCATTGGAATGTGAGCACTGAAACAGATAGTCTAAATCCTACTTTGAATCTTTCTGCCTTAAAATTAAGAAAGAAACCTCAGATTTTATGTATGTCTTGCTTAAGTTGAAATTATGCTAGTTAGGGACAAAATGCATTGTCCCTCAAGTGTGAGAAGAAAAGATTAATTGATTATGGCCTTGCATTTAGCAACATTCTGAGCATTGATTTTATTTGCACCTTGTGGTTTCAAACAGGATTTCTTCAAATTGGTGAAGTCATATCATTGGATAGGACTCATACAAATTCCAACAAATGGATCCTGGCAGTGGGAAGATGGCTCCGTTCTCTTGCCCAACCAGTAAGTCTTAGGTCCAGTAGATTTTTTTGTTTGTTTGTTTTTCTCTTTTTAATACATGCATCTCAATAATACTGAATGGTGAATTTTGTTGTGGCATGCTAGTGCACACATACAAACATGATTTGATGAATTTTACTCCCCAATACTATCCTCTCTCTATTCTCCCCAACAGGATCCTAGTTGTGAATTTGTTCCTAATTTATCTCTATGATCACTCATCTATCACATTTTCTTTTTCACAAACTCAGGCATTCCCATATTCTCATTCATTTAGAAAAGAAATACTGTGCCCTAAATTTGGAAGAGAATATTATGAAGTGGCCAATATAAACAATTATGAGTAATATATATGCTTACTGTGTGGTAAATACTGTGAAAGATAGATCTAATATTCATTTTACAGATAGGAGACTGAAGCAGAGAGCTTAAGACGTTAAGTACAACATATTCTTTTTTCATGTACTACTAAGGTGATGACAATATAATTGGTGTGCAATAAACTGCACATACAGAGTGTACACTTTGATGCACTTATGAAACCATTAATAAAATCAAAATAATTAGCATATCCATCACCTGCAAAACTTTCTTTTGAACCTCTATAGTACTTTCTTTGTGCTCTTTTCTATATCTCTTTCTGTTCCTAAGAAACAAACCTTTTTTCTCTCACCATAAATTAATTTGCAACAACTAGAATCTTATATAACTGCAGTCATACGATATGTACTAGTTTTATGTTGGATTTTTTTCACTTAGCATAATTATTTGAGATTTGGCATTTCATAACATTAATATTTTCTTTTTATTCCCAAGAGGTATTTCTTTTTGAATGTAGTGCAACTTGTTTACCCTATTGTCTCTTGATATATATGTAAGTAGTTCTCAGTTTTTAATTACAAATAAAGTCACTTGTGAAAATTTGTGTACAGCTGTTTCCATGAAAATAAGCTTACCATACTGGGGTTGTAGCTTAGTGGTTGAGCACTTGTCTACCATGTGTGAGGCACTGGGTTCAATCCTCAGCACCAGATATAAATAAATAAATAAATAAATAAATAAATAAATAAATAAATAAACTAGCTTTCCTTTCTCTTATACAAATATTTAAGAGTAAAACAGATGGATCATATAATAGTTTTATGCTTAAGTTTTTAAGAAAATACCAAACTATAATCAAAGTTGCTAAGAAATTTTACTAATTTCACCTTTCTTTTAGCAGCATGTGAGAGTTCCAGTTGCTCAACATTACAGCCAACATTTGTTATGATCAGTATTTTACATTTTAGATATTCTAATAAACATGAATTGGCATCTCAATGTGGTTTTAATTTGCATTTTCCTAGTCACTAACAATCCTAAGGATCAGTTTTTGTGTTTGTCATTCATTTCAAGTTTTTATTTCAATGATTTCTGGTCTGATATTTGTTATTTACTATATTCTTATTTTATGTTAAATTTACTTTCCCTTTTCTGTTTTTTTCAGGGGTAAAGCTAAGGCATTGATTTTTCTTTTCTAATAAAAATATTTTTTTGCCATTAATATGTGAGATCATTTGATAACCTCCTTGATCATTTTGATACATTGGTTTTGGTTCTATTCAATTCAAAAATCATTTCTAAATCTCCTTCCATGCTTGTCTTCAATTCATAGATTATTTTTTAATATTTGGAAAATTCCTAGAACTCTTTCTGTTACTAATTTCTAATTAAGTAACCATCTTGATCAATTTAATATGGATTGAAACCTCTTGAATTTGTTGAGATCAGTTTTATGGACTAGATTATAATCTCTTTTGAAATGCTCCATGTGTATTCAAACAGGAATATTGTGCCATTCTTGAGTTCTGTAAGTGACAATTAACTCAAGATAATTAAGAGTGTTGCTCAAGACTTCCACATCCTTTCTGATTTACTATCTACTTAGTTTTGACTGTTTATGATAGAGGTCGCAATTATTAAAAGGGAAGTACTAAAACATTGTACTGTAAATTTAGTTACCTATATTTCCTTGCAATTCAAATGCTTCTTTGCCTGACATATTTTGAAGCTCTGTTGTTAGATGCATAAAAGTTTAGCTTTTGTGTACTCTTCCCTGAATTTATGATTTTATCATAATATAATGAACTCTTGAGCTAATAATATTTTGTGCTTTGAAATTCTACTTAGTACCATATAAATTTAGTCATTACAGATTTTTGATTAGAATTAGTGTAGCATATATCTTTAATCTGTATGGGTCTTTACATTAAAAGTAAGTCTCCTTTGGACAGACTACAGTTGAATTTTACTTTTTCATCCAGTTTGACAAGTCATACCTTTTTATTTGGGATGTTTTCTCCATTTACATTCAATAGTTAAGTAATCTTGCTATTTGCTGTTTATTGGTTTTGTTAGTTGTTTATTCTGTTTTCTTTTTCTGAGTTTTATTAAACATATTTTAATTTTATTTAGTTTTATTAAACATTTTTTTTTGCTTTGGCTTATTGGGTATATCTTTGTTGTTATTTTAGTTTGCTCTAGAGTTTATTTTATATATATCTAATATATCAATAAATCTGATAACCTATCACTTCATGCATAGTATAAAATTCTTGCAATATTATCCTTCCATTTCTTTCTTCCAAACCATGAGCTATTTTAGTCATAAATTTCCCTGTATAAATGCCATAAGTCTCACACTGTTATTTTTATTAAAAACATCAAATATATTTTAAATGCTTTAAGTAACAAGATAAAATTATACAAATTATGTTTATGCCTGTCACCATTTCTTTACTCATTTTTATAGAACATAACTTCCATCTACTGTAATACTCCTCCTATATTGAGGATTTTTGTAGCATTGCTTGAAGCTGTTTGTTTCCTAGTGATAAATTATTTCAGCTTCTATTCTGAATATGTCTTTATTTTATCTTAATTTTTGAAAGATATTTTGGATGATGATTTTTTTTCCCCCCTGGATTGAACCCAGGGCTTTCTGCATGCAAGGCAAGCACTCTTCCAACTGAGCTATATCCCCAGCCTGAGATGCTTTTATTCTTTACACATTTCTGGATTTAAATCTTTTGTTGTTGCTTGTTTTGGGTACTTTCAATAAGTTTCTCCTCACTTCTGTTGTCTAAGAAATCTGCTCTCATACTTGTTTTTGTTCAACAGTACATATGTCTTTTTTCTCCCTGTGGCTACCTCTAATCACTTTTCTTTGTCATTGGGTTTGAAAATGTGCCATAAGCCTTGTTTTTAGTTTTCTTCATATTTCTTGTGCATGTGGTTTCTTGAGATTCTTAGAAGGGTTTATAATTTTCACTAAAATTAGAAAATGAAGTGTAATTATTTCTTCAAATGTTTTCTCTCCCCCATTTCTTTAGTGTCTTCTTTAGGCCAAATTTGGTACATTAAGCCTGTTAAAATTGTAGTAAAGTTCACTGATGCCCTATTCATATTTTTACTCTTCTTTATGTTTTTGGATAGATTCCATGATCATGAAAGTTCACTAATCCTTTCTTCTGTAAAGTATAATGTTTCATTAATCCTATAAATGTATATTTCATCTCAGACATTGAAGTTTTCCTTTCTAGAAGTGTGATTTGGTAGGTGTTTTTAATATTCTCCATGTATGGATTTGAATTTTGATTGATTGATTTGTCTTCTCATTAAGGTTAATTATTCTGTTTCTTTACTTGCCAGGTACTTTTTTGTGGAATTTTATACATTTGTCTTTTATTAAAAACATTAAATATGTTTTTAATTTTATGTTATATATTTTTATTGCTAAAAATATTCTAGGGGCAAAGGTACTTGCCTTTATCAAGTACCCTTACTTACAAACCACTTTATCTATTTTGATCTTTTAAAAAATATTACTAATCAGGACATCCAATATAGTTAATTACCCCTACTCTAAAGCAGTATTCTTCTAATACCTTGTATTTCAACTCTGTTTGAAATACAAGGTTTTACAAATCGCTAGATAAAGTAGGCATGGTTCCAGACCCTCTATATCCACACTGTTTCCTCTAAACCTTTCTAGATAGTTCTTTCTCCATCTTTTAATATTTTTCTTGCACACATGCATTAATTAGTACTCTGCTGAATACTCAAGAAAGGACTTCTGTATGTCTTTGGGTTTCTTTATTTGCTCAGCTCTTTGATCTTCAGTCTGTGTCTATGAACTACAGTTGCTTTGATATTTACAGACTAGAGTATTCTGATACTCTTTTTTTTTTTTTTTTATAGCCTGCTCTTTTAACCACCTGATAGCATAGACGAACTCTTCACACCTGGGCTAAATGACAATACTTCAACATTTATTGAGCTTATAGAATATAGCTTTTATCCTTTGAATGAATATTAAGATAATTCTCAGAAAAAGGCCATTTCTATCATTTGGGAGATCTGGCCTATCATATTTACTGTTAATTAATTTACTTATAATGGCACAAAGATCAGGAATAAAACCCAAATATTTTGATACTATTACTTTCTCTCTCCTTTGGTCTCATAAAATCAGCAGAAGTTTTCTAGACTGTAAATATTTAAAATTCTTTATTTATATTTTAGTTATTTGAATATTCAACTCTTTTATTAATTTCAACTCTTTTATTAATTTCTACATGACCTGAGATTTTATTTATTTTTTTTTAATAATTGTTTTTGAGAGAGAGAGGTTTTTTTAAAAATATTTATCTTTTAGTTTTCGATGGACACAACATCTTTTTGTATGTGGTGCTGAGGATCGAACCTGGGCCACAGGCATGCCAGGCGAGCGCGCTACTGCTTGAGCCACATCCCCAGCCCTGAGATTTTAATTTTAACAAAATTTTCTTCTCCCAAAATACTAATAAGATTGTATATCATATTATTTCCAATATACAAGTGTAATTTTTGTTCATGCACATGGTAAATATTTTTGAGTACCTGTAAATGTGCAGCAGAGATAACTGCAGAGACCACTAGGACATAACTCCCTCAAGAACTTTATACTGCAGTCAAAAATGTAGTTAGAGAGGCTGGAGTTGTAGCTGTGGTAGAGCACTTGTCCAGCATGTGAGAGGTCCTGGGCTCCGTCCCCAGACTGGAAAACAAACAAGCAAACAAAAAAGGAAATGTAGTTATAAAAAAATAAGCATAATGTGGTGTGAAGAGTGATAAGAATGATGTGGGAAAAGACACATAGAAATCAAAATAACATATGAAGAAAGTGAAATTAGAGAACACTATTTATTTCTCTGTGGTGAGAACATTCAAAAGTCACTCTTCTAGCTGATTCTTAAACATAAAATAGCTAATTGGTAACTGAGTCACCCTGTTGTGCTGTGGAATGCCAGAAATGACAAGTACATGAAGTGATAACTATGCTAACTACACTTATTGATTATATTAATCAATATACATTAGAACATCAAATTCTACTCCAGAAATAAGCACAATTATAAAGTGTAAATCAAAATTTTAAAAATTAAGAATGAAAAAAAATTAGGCTTAGATTGAGACCCACTAAGAGTAGTCACTAAAAACTCCAATCTTGTTTCCTCTGTGGCATCTAGTTTTTCCATATGAACAGGGTTCATTTCCTTGTCCTTTAAATACATGTAATATCAGAGCACAGTCTGTCCCTTTGATTTGTCAGTTTCACATTGAAGTCACATGATCACTCTTTCTTGAATATTCTATTTCTGACCTATTCTTGGAAGAAAAAAATTCACTAATTATATAAATCATATGACTCCCAAACACTAAATATACCAGAATAAAATGCACATACAGATTTAGCCATCTCCACATAGAATGATAAACACACATGCACGCATGCTCATATACACATACTTGCATGTTTGTGGGTATGTTTTAGGATTTATGATCTATTTTCATCTCTTTACCAACTAAAATTGCATCTATAGTCCTCCTTTGGTACCCCTAGGGGAATATATCTGTGGTTTACTGTATCTGCAGATATAGAACCTGAAGATGTTACAGAGTGTCAACTATATGAAGAAGATGGGGTTTTTTCTTGTACAAAAAATTGCAGCTATTGAATTCTAGGTTCAATTCTGAATTTATTTCTTATCTAAATATTAATTTTTAAGTAAACATTTTGAAGCTTTTATTTTACTCAGGTACATGTATGAAGAGATTTTAGACTTCTGAACTATCTAATTTCCAAAGTATAAAAAAAACAGTGGCTCATAATTTAAAATATGAAACTTTCATTTTCTGAGATGCCTACATTTTGTATATCTGTGAATCAGGAAGGTCAAGCATGGTACTAAATTCTCCTGCAATACCTTTTAAATTCTTATAAGTATTATTACTTTTTTATTTCCTGCATTAACAAAGTTATGGATATGTCATGTGTAATTCTCTCCAATCCAGACTAACACTGGTGGAAATGCAGAATGGAACCTGCATTGTCTATGGCTCAAGCTTTAAAGGCTACACAGAAAACTGTTCAGCCCTGAACACATACATCTGCATGCAAAGGATTGGGTAGTCTCAATCAACCATCCCAACACAAAACAGGAACAGAGAAGGGATTGCACCGGCAGGAACAATGCTATGTGGCTGAAGGAAACAAACAATGGAACAAACACAGGAAAAACATACACCTCCTGAGCTCTCCAGAATAGGACCACAGAACTATTCTGCATCTAGTATTCTGTAAGACAAAGGAAGGCAATTCAGAAATCATCAAGTCCACCTCTACCATGGCCCAGACTGCACAGGATGGAGTTGGGTTCAGCCTCGATGAAAAAGAATGGAACTAATCCAGGAAAGTGGTGAGGAAAAAGTAGCCCTATAAATCACTGGTGGTACATCTAGCAGAGAAAACTGCTCCATGGGTGGGCAGTGCTGTGCCCAGCTGTGGGGGTAATGTTGCCATCCAAATCAGTTAAGAAGGCAGGACTGCTGCCCCCGTGGGCCTGGAGGCAGAACAGAAAGCCAGAGAGGTTTATTCTTGGAACTTAAGATCTCGTGGAGTTTGCCTACCTAGGTTTTGGACTTGCTTGGAGCCCATCATCCTTTCTTTTTCTTTGACATTTCCTCCTTTTGGGGTGGCAGCCTATCCAGTGCCAATCCCAACCTTGCACTTTGAAAGCACATAATTTATTGTATTTCATGAGTTCACAGCTGGGGAAGAACGTTGCCTGTCCCACCCAACAATATTTTGGGTGGGACAGGCAACATTTGGATAAATATTAACTATTTAGGTAATACATAGATGAGACTTCAGGCTTTAGATTTTAGGGTTAGTGCTAGAAGGAGTAAAGCCTTTTGGGGTTGTTGGGATGGAATGAGTGTATTCTGCATGTGAGACGGACATGAACCTTTCAGAGGCCCAGGGTAGACTAAATGTTTGTGTACCTCCAAACTTCAAACTTGAAACTATAACACCCTCCAAATTATAATAGAAGGCAGGCCTTTGGAAGGAAATTTGTGTCATAAGTGTTAAACCCTGGTGAGTAGGATTAATGCTTTTAATAAAAGACCCCAGAAACCTCTCTAATCTTTCTTACATCACAAGAGGATACAAGGAGAATTTGAGTCTACACCTGCAGGAGGATCTTCAGCAGAGCTCAACCATGCTGGCATAACTCACCCAGTCGATAAAGCTAAGAACAGAGGGGAAGATAGCTGGGCATTCGTTATCACTGAAAATAACAGAAAATGATTGATAATGTTGTTGCATAATATAGTGTTACTTGGGGAAAGCATTACTAAACCAGCAGGCAGGTAAAATGTATTAAATATCAAAATTGAATAAAAATGAAAATCACAACTGAAAAGCAACCACAGAAACTGGCTTTTATTCTGAGAGTTTATAATAAACTTTGGGACTGTTAGTTTCTGTTTTAATGGTTGTCATGGAGCTTGGAAATACAAGACAAAGTTTAGTGGTCATCTAACCTGAGTGTGAAATGCAATTTCTCTTTCTAAAACTGAGATCCCCCAAATGTTTCAAACTCCTACAAGAAATAAGAAATAAAACTTATACTTCAGAAAATAGAAAGAGAGATTCTTGCTAGTCTTGATCTTTGAAAAGATGGAGGAGAAAATGAAAACTTCCCATGAAACATTTGTACCCACAGATAAACCCTCGTTTATATTTACAGCCCACGTCTGGCTAACAGTGAAGTCCAAAACTATGGCAGTGAAATAATTTATTTGAAGTAGTTCAAGGTTATTAATAATAGCCTTACTAACAGTTCCAATATTGTCTGAAGGAAAATAATCTCAACCAGTTCTCAAGAACTTTGGCAATCTTCCAAATTTCTCGAACACAAAGATAAAATTACAAAAAGTAGATACTAAAGGATGGGAGGGTGGCATGGGGATGTGGCTCAAGCGGTAGTGCTCTTGCCTAGCATGCTTGCGGCCTGGGTTCGATCCTCAGCACCACATACAAACAAAGATGTTGTGTCCTCCGAGAACTAAAAGATAAATATTAAAAAAAATTCTCTCTCTCTCTCTCTCTCTCTCCCTCTCTCTCTCTCTCTCTTTAAAAAAAAAAAAAGGATGGGAGGGTGGAAAGGGGAGTAATCTTGGTGAAGGGTCTTGAAAATCTGAAATCATGTCAAAATAAAGAGCTAAAATAACCAAACAAATTGGAGTCATCTTTGAAATCTGTCTTTCTCCTACACAATATACCCAATATGTCAGCAAATCCAAGTCTCTCTCTCTCTCTCTCTCTCTCTCTCTCTCTCTCTCTCTCACACACACACACACACACACACACACACACACATTTACATATTCATATGTGCACAGAATATAGCAATATATGTTGGCCAATCACTTCCCAGCACTTCCCCTGGCAATTAGTTTTGTTTGTTATTTTCAAAGAGAAATACTATTGAATTCTGGCTTCTGGTGTTTGTACTGAGGAGTTAGTCTACTATTGTTTGTCTCTTCATATGGCCACTGTAAGATTATCTCTTCATCTTTGCTTTCAGTGTTTTGGGTGTTACAGCTTGGTAGGGTTTGGTTTCTGTTTTTTCTGGTCCAAGTGTATGTATTTGTTTTTTTGTTCCATTCTGTCTCTATATTCACCCTACAACTTCAATTCCACATACATTTTCCTGTTGAGTATCACATGTCATTTATCCATTTACCTATTTGCATTTTTCCATTTTATCTATTTCAGTTCATATATTTTTATGCTGATTTTTCTTTGAGCTCACCAGTATTACTTTTGCTTTCAATCTAATCTTCTATTTCATTTTCACTGAGTTCTTAATTTTGGAAATTTCAGCTTTTAAGTTTTAGAATGCCCATTTGTTTGGATTTGAAGATTGAAATCTTCCAGGGACATTTTAAACTTTTACATCTTCTTTGTCCTGTGTTTAGATAATTGTTAAATACATATAGATAGTTGTTTTAAAGTCCCACTCTGGTAACCCAGGTAAGGGACATTGTATATCTGAATCTCTTATTGGTGCCACCATGCTTGACTTGTTTTTTTTTTTTTTCCCATGACCTTCTTCTAGCTAGTTTCTGATTCCTAAAAACTGGAGGACTTTGGGAGGTTTCAATTTTTTCCCCCAGAATGGTCTGTCTCTGTTCTGTCTTCCATTTAGCAAATGACTTGTAGGGAAAAAAAAATGAGTGACATTACCATTCTAGTACACATAACCAGAAAAATTTTTCCAGTTTTTTTTTTCCGTAAGGTCAGGATCAGGTCTATGAAAAACAGTAAAGGAAACAACAGTTGCAGGTTGCCAAACTATTCATCCTACTTTGAAATTAATGTAATTTAGTTATTATTCCTTATATTTGTATGAGTTCAAAACTGCATTTTTTCTTTTTTGATTTATCTTTACCATGCTTTATCTGGATGTAGAAATGTTATTCATTACTTTGTGTTACAAACATTTACTTTCATGAGATTTTTTAGAATGTTTAATTTTTTTGATGTATTACTGATTATGTCATATGAAATTATTGATTACACCATGCAATTACCACATATTGACACTTTTTGCTTGTGGCCCCACATTATCTGGTAGTTTCAATGATCCCATTTGGGATTTGGGTGGTGAAGGGAATAATAGTAGGATACCTTCATCCATCTTGTTCTCCTTTCTGGAAAAAAAACTTTTTATTTTTGTAATTGTGCTTTTTTACTATTGTAATCACTTTATTAATGTTTTTATTCCCCTTAGTGTGTAAGATCATGAGAGCAGACATTAATCTATGATTTGTACAATTGTGAATCTCCAGCACTTAAGATTTACTGTTCAATGTTAAGGAAAACAAAACTTCTTTAATGAGTAAAATTACAGTTGAGAATATCCATTTCCATATTCTGCACATTAAGTGCCTAGTAAAGTTTAATATCTCCTGGATCTCTGTAATTTTTTCTAAAACATTACTTTCTTATTTAAAATGCAATTTTTCTTTGTGGTTCATTTGATCAGTCAACTTTATCTTCTTACACTTTTTTTTTTTTTTAATCAGGAATTGAACCCACTGAGCCATGTCCCCAGCCTTTCTTATTTTTTATTTAGACACAGGGTCTTGCTAATCTGCCCAGGGTCTTGTTAAATTGCTGAGGCTGGCTTTGAACTTATGATTCTTCTTCCTTGGGTTCCTGAAATGTTGGGATTACAGGTGTGAGCCACTGCACCTGGCATGACCACTCATTCTTGTCATAGGTGATCATAATGAGTCAAAGAAAGACTAGTGTTTTATATAAACCTAGTGAAACCAGAATGACAGAATTTATTTTGAAAGTACTGCAAGATCAGAAAGTCTTAAAACTGGATGCACAAAGGTTGGATATAGCATTTCTGCCCCAGTAATGTTACCATATTTTTTTGTTTTCTTTGTATGTTTTCTGGTACTACTATTTATTGCATTTATCTTTTTATAAATTAAGAATTAAAGAATAAAGAATAATATATGGATTTCAATGTTGAATAATATTTAATTCTAGCTAAGTAAATAATTCACATAGTTGAAATCATTACACAGGAAAATTTCAAATGTTCACATTTTTATTACTTTCTCACATTTTCTGTAATATGGATGTGTTGTTTTCTTACAGATAATATAGTCATACTTTAGCAATCTTTGGTAATTACCTGGCCATATTTTATAAATATGCATTTATTATTAGCATTCTATACTCAGTTGAAGCTCAGAAGAAACAAGACATTCCATTAAATACCAAATTTACTTTTTTAAAATTTATATATGACAGAAGAATGCATTACAATTCTTATCACATATAGAGCACAATTTTTTTCATATCTCTGGTTGTAAACATAGTATATTCACACCAATTCATGTCTTCATACATGTACCTTGGATAGTAATGATCATCACATTCCACCATCATTAATAACCCTATGTCCTCTCCCTTCCCCTCCAGCTCCTCTGCCCTATCTAGAGTTTGTCTATTCCTCCCATGTTTCATCTCCCTATCCACTATGAACCAGCCTCCTTATATCAAAGAAAACATTTGGCATTTGGTTTGGGGGGATTGGCTAATTTCACTTAGCATTATCTTCTCTAATTCCATCCATTTACCTGCAAATACCATGATTTTATTCTCTTTTATTGCTGGGTAAGATGATGACAGAATTTAAAAATGAAAATCATAAATTTAGTGATTAGAAAAGTAAAAACCTAAGATGATACAAAGTATAATTCTATTCTAACAGATGTGGGAGTTTCTAAATGAATGATTTCTGAGAAAAAAAAGCCCTGCAACATTATACACAATTTGATCAAGTAATTAATATAAAAGCATACTAAAAAATTAAAACTCTGAATTATAGAATTGTATGTTTCAATTTTCTGACAATGGACAACAAATTCCAAAACTACATTAATTACTCTAAAACTATTGTCCAATAGAAACATGCCAATTATATCTCCATGTTCTGATACTTGTGTATCAGAACATGAAAAAGCACATACCATGAAAACTGGACTAATATAATTTTTGAATCAAAACATGTAAATTCTAATAGAATGAAGAAGTGTATTATTAGCTATTTTTATCAATTTTATCAGGTGTTTATCAAATGGTATTTAGTAATAGATATTATTATTTTTCTATATGTATATGTTTATGTGCATATTGAAAAGCAATATGTATCTATTATATAGCAACCTAGACATAAACATTTATTAGAATGAAAAGCAAGTCATTCCAAATTCTTATCTTTTAATGCCTCTTGTGAGTGAGATATGAGAGTAGCTAATATCTTCAACTTGTGTATGTTTGGTGTGTATATTTTTTTAAATTAATAGCAGCTTTAAATAAATATTTAATATGAATAAATACCAAATTTACTTAATATCAATTTTATTTTTTGAATACATTATATTTGGATATAATTATAAAAATCAGAAATGACATTTCCTCAGTTCTCTAAGAAATATAAATAATAAATAATATATTAAGCTCCTTCAAAATTTAAATCTGGAATTAGAAATGTAAAAATGTATTTAATTATATCATCTCTGACCCAAGGCAATTTCAGAATATTTTCATTTCTGAAATTTACTGCATTTCCTTTTATAGTAGAATATTGATAATCAGATTCTACAATATGTAAAATACAATACAATTGTTAATCATCTATCACAATTAACTTCTTTGTGGAAAAGTGTAATTTGTTCCTTCCAGATGAAAGCTCAGAACACACTATATACTGGTAAGCGTAGATGATAATTTCAAAAGATCAAATACTCAAATTTAACAATGAGAACCAAAAACTTCAAGAAATGTTTCACAAAATATGTGCTATAATTCCTGACAGAGTGCATACATTTACTACATTAAGTACAGTAATTAAAAATAAATATGCAATTGCTTAGAATTCTAGGTGAATGTAAAGTCTTAGGTGAAGCTAAAGTGAATCTAGATCTATTCATCCACAGCTGAGGAGTCACAAGAAATTGGTAGGAATAAGATCACAGATGGCCTTAGACACTTTAGTGTGCTTTTATCTGAAGTGCTGAGGAAAGCCGCTTAAATGTTACTGAACTATACACATTCAAAATTACAGTCAGATTGTAAAGATTTACATGACTGCAGTGTAGAAAATATTTTAGAATAACATTAAATTTGAGTTTTGGTTACACTTCTTGAAATATTCTAGTATTTACAACCCACTGAAATTTGTCATGCAATCTCATCTTTACATCTTTCTTCAATATTCAATCTCATAAATCTTAGTTCTAAACAAATACAATATTGATGACCCTTTTTCCAAGGAAACATGTTTCTTGAAAAATGGAGGCCATATGGTCTATGCTGATGCCAATTTTATGAACAAACAGTACATTTCCCTCCAGTGTCAAGAAAAGTTAAAAAAAAAAAAAGAGAG